AAAAAATCTCTAGAATGAGTCACCAAGAAAGCTGATAGGCAAACCTATCCCCAAATATTTGCAGAGCTTGGAACAACAGTACAGATGAAGCTCGATTTCAATATTCTCTCCCCCCACTCTGAAAAACAAACCTTCATAATGAAAGATAAGACATGAATAAAGTTAGGGTTATCATGACACTGAGAACTGAGCAAATACCTAAGAGGACTGAGTCTCATTCTTATTATGTCTGGGTGTTCTGTTGATAAGCTGGCACTATCTGGATAAGTAGCAAATTAAAAGCAGGCATAATGTATAACTTATTCTATAGTTAGCCTATAGACTTTATTTTTCTTGCTCTCATTTCAGCAAATTCATTAATTATATTATTGTAATAATGATTTTCACCACAATTTATGATGTCCTGAGAGTAGTGACTAAAGGATTAAAACAGAAAATATAACTGTATTCAAAATATATGAATTTGAGTGTATTTTCATTAAAAAAGAAAATGTAAAATATAAAAAAAGAACTGATTTCAAAGAAGTTATTTTTCTTCTAGGGATTTGAAATTCTCTATTAAAATGTAATAAGAAAATTAAAAATTACAATATATTTTTGTAAAAATAAAATTATTTGCTATTCTGGTATTTGGGATCTGTCCAGCTGGCACTGTAAAGACTCAAGATTACACATCACGCCTGTTATTTACATACACACAAGTGTAAGAGTAATATGGAGTGTTCAATACTGTGAAACATTCCTCAGCTTGCGAATCTTGAGTTCCTCTGGAATCGCAAATTAGATCGTGAAGAGAGTAAGAAAATGAGTGCCTGGCGCTCTTGGGAAATTATACCTGGTTATGCAAAAATCTAGCGCATCCATACTATATAATTGTATATCATATTATCTGACGAGTTAAATAAGTTTGCCTTTCCTTTAAATTAAGCCCTTCTACTGTCCCGATGCTGCCTCTGCTGTCAGCACAGGCACGATCCAGAAACCTTCATGGCATCTGGATACAGTTTCTTTTGTTTTGAGGTTGTACTGTAAGGATTATGGAGGAGTTTTTCTCTAGGGCTGAAGAATACTGGTCACAAGAGCAGACACCACCAAGTGCTAGGTCCCTAATGACAAAGAAGCCTGTGTGTTCTTGAATAAATTTAGTGTGTGTGTACGCGTGTGTGTGCTACGTGCGGCCCTCTAAAGCACAAGCCCAGAAGAGCCCTTCTGCCTGGGTCTTAGGGTGTAACTGGTTACAGGATCTTGGAACCCCAGCGTTCAAGATGCTTCTTAAAGCCCCAGGTGATTCAACTGAGGATGGTCTGGGGATGAGAGAGAGGAGGATGCCCACATCTTAAGGATTGATTTGTTTTTCTAGTAAATGTTTGGGCAAAAGGCATCTCAGATGGGTCAACCAGGTGGTAGGACTTAAACATCTGAATACAGTTCAGACAAAGATCCTTTGTAAGATTTGCAGAAAGGGCATACGGTGAAGCGTTCTAATTTAACGGTAGCAAAAGAGAGACTCTGTTTTCTTTTCTTTTCATCATTAAAACCATACCCCAGGATAACAGTGGACATTTCGATCCAAGTATGTCTACACATCCACCAAACACCATGCAGATCGACAGGCAGAGCAAGTAAAATCTGCCACAGCCCATGACCCTTGCACAACTGGAAAACAGAAACACTACACACTCTGATTTTCATATATAAGTAGGCAGAAAACCACTGAAAGCAGCAGTGAAAGATCCAAAACTTGCATCAGGGCAAAGAATCAGGGGAAGAGTGTGTGATAAAGAAGAAAGTGTGAAGGGATTCCAGGTTGTGGGAGAAACCAGATTACAGCACCAACAGAAAGAGAGAGACCCATCCTGAGCGGGAAAATACAGAGAATAGGTCTGACACCTGAGGAATCAGACCTCTGGTACCGGGCTTGAAAGTGTGCAGGGCAGGGTCAGAGACAGTCCCGCTCAGAAGGTAGCCCTTCAGGGAAAGAGGAGGTGACAGGGGAGGGAAAAGCAACTCCTGGAGGCTTGGTGTTTCTATCAGGGGGCGGGAGAAGGGAGAAAGCAGTGGGCAGTTGGGGTTCTGGGCAAATGAAAAGCACTCCAATGGAATGACATGCTATTTCACTAGGATGGATTACCAAGCACATTCTAAGCAAATGAAGAGAAAATGTTCCAGATAAAACAAGAGCGCATAAATGCTCAGCGGCGCTCTCCTGTGCTATTCATACCGCAAACCTTGCTCTATAACGTTGATGAGTAATCCCGCTTTCTTTTCCTTCCACAATTCCTGGGGTATTAGACATTCAACAGGTGATCCTAAATGTTGACACACAGTTGAAGTATTCATGCAATAACTGTTGTCACTTCAAATCAAAGGGACAGCAAGTATAAGGAAGCCGATTTATAATCCTCTGGGTTGTTTGTCTGTTTGGTCGTTTACGAGAAGACGGACACTTTGAAGAGAAGATAAGCAACACCCCTAAGATCACAGGGCCAACGAGACTGACCTTTCGATCTCTGAACAAAATGGTCCGCCGCGTTACGACCCAAATCGCCATTTTCTGTAGTGATGACCTCAGAACTCTGCTGATAAAGAGAGTAAAACACTTTGGACTGAAGTTCTTTCCCTCTTAAAAAAAAAAAAAAAACAAACAAACAGCTTCCAAATCCTGCCACAGACCTTGATCCAAAATTAGAGAGAAGAAGGAGACCCAGTGTACCTGGAGTATTTTTTGAAGACATTTCTGCTTATTTCTAGCCACCTCCACCCCCTCCAAAAGCAAATTCATCTGAAAAATTATGAGAACAAAAAAGAACTGGCAGGTTATTCAAACTGCTCCTGGATACATACTGCCTAGAGTTCTGCGTTCTTTTAACAGATGTTTGACTTCTAGAAAGTTTTATTTTGCAGAGGCCTTGGATTCCAGCGCACTTTCATACACATATCACCTGTGAGCCAGCTGTTAGATGAGCCTGGAACTTACGGGTGGTTTCGCCACCTGCCATTACCCAGACCGAAATGCAGATGATCTTCTGCAGACTCAGCTGAGAGAATGAGGCGGAAAGTCTTGTTTCTGACTCCTGGTTCCCCATCAATCGCTTCATGAATAAAAGAACAAGGCAGCCATCAGCAACCAGCTGGCTAGAGTGACAAGTCATCAAACGTGCCGTGGGTCAAAAGATCGATGGGAGTGACCTGCTGGTCTCCTCCAACGTCTGAGACATGAGAAAATGGCTGTAATTGGTGGTGGGAATAAGTTGAAAACAGCAAGTTATCAGCTACCTGAAATTTGGAGGCACTGAATGGATTAAAGGTAAAAAGCAAAATCTCCCCCGTCAACTACTGAGCAAAAGAAGAAACCATAAAAGGAAAGATAATGATAAGAAGAAGAAGGTCTAATATGCATTGCTTACTTACTAGAAACGAGACATGATGATAATTCTTTATGTGCATTATCTTACTTAATCATTATATTGATTTTTATAGGAAAGATACTATTATTTTCCAAACTTACAGATAGGAAAGTTAAGGCTCAGAAAGGTAAGACAGTTTGTCCAAAATTAGAGCTGAGACTCAAGTCCAGGACTTCCTGACAGTATAGTCCAGAGTCTTCACTCCTATATATTAAGAAAGAAAAAGCAAGAAAAAAAAAAACCTAAAAATAAAGTTATAAGACCAGTTGGAGAAAATACTGAAAATACTTGTGACTGAAATATAGTTAATATCCTTAATACAAAAACCCATAAGGAAAAGATAAAATCATCAAAATAAAAGATAAGCTAAGGGCCAAGGAAAAATAAAACACAAAAATAAGAAACAAGCATGAAAAAATAGTGATTGCATTAGTTTCCTGCAACCTTACTGGCCTAAAAGAAGCACACGTTTCTGCTGTTATGGGGAAGTTCTGGAGGTCAGAACCCTGAAGCAGGTCCACGGGACCGTGCTGCTTCTGGAGGCCTCCGGGGCCCTGTCCTCGCCTTCAGCAGCTTCTGGAGGCCGCCCTCCTTGCCTACTCATGGACCCTCTCCCATCGTCACAGCCAGCAGATGGCCCTCCCCGCTGAGCTCTGCTCCATCCTCACATTTTCTTTCTAGGACTTTGACCCTCCTGCCTCCTTCTTCCAAGGACATCTGACTGGCATCAGGCCAACCAGACCATCCGGCACAACCTCCTCATCTCAGAATCGTTAACTGAGCTGTATCTGCAAAGTCTCATTTACCATATAACGCAGGGGTGCTTAGGACACGGGGATTAGCACATGGACAATCTGGGGTGGGGGGGGTAGGGCAGGAATCAGCCTGCCACAGTAGTAAACAAAAATTTAATTTAAAACAACAAAGAGGGTTTCCCTGGTGGCGCAGTGGTTAAGAATCCGCCTGCCAGTGCAGAAGACATGGGTTCAAGCCCTGGTCCGGGAAGATTCCCACACGCCAGGGAGCAACTAAGCCCGTACGCCACAACTACTAAGCCTGCGCTCTAGAGCCCGTGAGCCACAACTACTGAGGCCCACGTGCCACAGTTACCGAAGCCCGCAGGCCTAGAGCCCGTGCTCCGCAACAAGAGAAGCCACCGCAATGAGAAGCCCGCACACCGCAAGGAAGAGTAGCCCCCGCTCGCCGCAACTAGAGAAAGCCCGCGTGCAGCAACAAAGACCCAACGCGGCCAAAAATAAATAAATAAATAAAATAAATCTATTTAAAAAAAAAAAAGGCTTCATCCACACGTTCTTGGATCCAAATCTTCTTATTAGTTGGGGCTCACAGTGGAAGGACTTTGCAGAGGAGCAGATAAAAACCTTTAAATCAGAAACCCTCACTCTGGGGGGAGAACTGCCATCATACAGACTTATGTTGTTCTTGTTTTTGTTTTTGTTTTTGTTTTTGCAGTACGCGGGCCTCTCACTGTGGTGGCCTCTCCCGTTGCGGAGCACAGGCTCCGGACGCGCAGGCTCAGCGGCCATGGCTCACGGGTCCAGCCGCTCCGCGGCATGTGGGATCTTCCCAGACCGGGGCACGAACCCGTATCCCCTGCATCGGCAGGCGGACTCTCAACCACTGCGCCACCAGGGAAGCCCCAGACTTATGTTGTTCTGATCTCCACTGCAGGCTCTTCCTGAGTGTACACCCTCGGCCAAGATCGCAGACTCATAGGACGTTGGTGGGAAAAGACTTTGGTAAACATCTAGCCCAGCACTTTCTTCTTGCTGCCAAAATGTTGTGCCTTGAATTCCTGTCCTCATGCCACTTCAAGTGGTTTGAGATTGTTTTTGATTCTGTGCAAAAGTTCGGGAGACCTCAGGGACAGGCTGCCTGGAGACCTGAAGTTGCTGGAGAAGACTGTGCCCAGGCCAGCTGCCGGCGAGCAGATTAGGGTCATCCCTTCCCAACTGCTAGCGACAGCCGCAGGCATACACGCAAGCCCCGCCCCTGCGCCTCAGCTTTCCCACTCAGACCATGAGGGTGCGGAGTCATGCCGCTTCGGAAGTTCTCCCTAGCTCTGAAACTTCACCATTTGCCAGGCTTCGTCCCCACCTCCGTTTTAAGCAGAGTTTTCTTTCCTACACAAAGCGAATCTCCGTTCCAGATGTGCGGTGTGTTGGAAAGAACAGAAGATCTGGAAATAGAAAGATGTACGACGTTTCACTCCTGCTCTCCATTTTCGACGGGTATGATATCTAAGCCCCCTGCTTCATTTCCTTGTCTGTAAAATGGGATAATAATATTGTAGGAAACAAATGACACATGGCACAAAACGTCCTTGGTGCAGTATGAGACACGTAGTTAAGTGCTAAATAAATACAGTTTATTATAATTAGCGTTGTGGACAAAGTATCCAAAGTTACAAGCTTCCCCTCCTGCTACGCGAAGTCTTATTTTTCTTCTAGGCTATCTTTAGTATCTAAAAACTCTAAGATAAACCATTTTAGGTGATCATTTTATTTCCAACTTTAGGAGATCCTCCCTTGGTCCACTTAGAAGAGCAGCAGACCTGACCTCTGCCTACGAATTGCAAACCAGCAGCATCCGAGTACACAACCAGCACCCTGGAGTTTTACAATTCCCCCCCCCGCCCCAACTCACCGGCAGGACACTTCATACAGAACGGCCCCTTTTAAGTGACCTTAAATTCCATGCACACTGTTTCCAGCATTCATCGTTCTCGGCACTGTCTGCACAGTCCAGATCTGCAAACTGCAAGTTGTAGCCCAACTTGCAAATTGTCCCTCAAGGGAACAAGGGCATTTACAAAACAGGGACAAACCTTGCAGAGAGGCTTGAGAATGGCTTCCCTACCTTAGACTTCTGAGAAGGTGTGGGTCAACTGCTTGCTTCCTGTAGCCTAAAAGTGTAAGTCGTGGTGAGCTTCAAAGTGTAATTCTTATTCTGAGCTACATCTAACATTACACTCAAGAACAAGACCTGGCTCACACCAGCGAAGCAGAAGAGCGTGAGGCCCAGAGGATGCAGAAACAGTTACGACGCACTACGGGGCCTAGGCTGCACGGGAACAGGCCCGGAAAGCCCATATGACAGTCACAGAAATTCCCGCACTGCCATTCCAACGAGGCTGAGAGCAGGATACTATCAAACCCAAGGGGGAGGTCTCTCTGTTTATCTGTCATGACTCTTCCCAATTTGGTGGTCCCCCAGAGAAAGAAGCTTCCAATAAACAGAAGCTTAGGACTCTCAGAAGATGCGCCTCACTTACCCAGCAGGTCACGTGACAGCCCCAAGGTCACTAACTCCACCAGGAGAACAAGCGCGGGCGGTGCTCCTGGGCGGAGGGTGATCACAACGCCACAGAGTGAAGCAGGGTGGCCTTTCCACTGGGACAGAATTAGCTGTAAGAACCTGGGCTGCACTCCTATTAAAGATGCTAACCTGCTCCTACCTTTGCAAAGCCCGAGTGACATTCTCTGTGTTGCTGACTCCTAATGACGATTTTGCATCCCTGCCCTAGAGCACCTGCTTTGCACCTGTGCCAGCTGTAACCCACACCTGTGCTGACTACACCAATGGCCCAACTCCTGCCGGTAAACCTAACTCACGCTGATTTCCACCCTTCCCACCAGGCCTCCGTCTGGTGAGCAGTACGCTCCTCCCTCCTACATCTCAGTTTTTGCTGTCCCGGTACCACCACACAGCCCAAGGGATGCGAGTCCAAAGCCAACATTTCTTCTGCCACTGAGTTCAGATAAAGCAAAATGCACTAATTAGATCATATTCCAAACACCAGTTTTCATGCTTTATGATAGATTTAGGACTCCTGGAAGAGAAGCTAATGATAACAGCAGGTCACGCCAAGGAAGGGCCATCCGTGGGGATGGACTCCTGCCCACGGGCACTGCCAGACGCTGAGGGTGCACAACACACCCTCACCTCGTCTCCCAAGATGTCCATCTCAGTCCTGACCCTCAACACATCTGGCTGGGACCCGACGGCCCTGAGCTTTCTGAGAACAGCGATCAGGAGAAGGGAACAATTTGTCCAATAGCTCCATGGCAGGCAAGGGTTTTTGCCTTTGGCAACTTCCTTAGATGGTTGAAAGATTTAAAGATTTTTCAACCCGAGTGCGCGGCTCTGACTTCCCCACTTTCTCGGAATCCCCTTCTCAACAGCCTGATCTCTGGTTTCCATCCCCCAGCACTCCAATAACACTGCCCTTTCCAAGGCCATCCACAGCCTCATTCTGAATAAATCTCAAGGCGATTTTTCTGTTCTCATCCTCCTTCTCCACACCCTCTTTCTTGAAAGTCTCTCCTGTCTTCCCTTGCAAAGTGTGGGCTCTTTTCTCTTGAGTTGCCTCCTTCCTGCCAACTTTTCCTCTGCACGCTATCCTTCTCTGACGCTGCTGAGCTGTGTTTGTCCCCCTAAGCTATAAGCGTTAACCTTCTCCTTCTCCTTCTCCTTCTCCTTCGTCTTCTGTTTCTATATACACACACCCAGCAACCACCTCTGCTGCAAAACCACTTAGAACTCCCCAGGGGAACTTTTATCCCCAGCTGCAAACACTCCGGGCACTGGCGGAGCCCTCTTTGCTTTGGCCACCGGGCTAAAACCCTGACCTGCCCACACTTAGGACAGGGCAAACCCTGACAAAAATAAAATGCCTTTTGCTTGGAGATGAGTGATCCCACCTCTATAATGCTGCCTCTTTGAACCCCCAAATCAATGTTTGGTTTCAAAATTGAAGTTCAGAGCCTGGTTGATGTGAAATTCACTTCCCGTCCTTGAGACTCTGCAGACTAAAATCGATGCTGACCTCGACTTGTTTCCTTCAAAGCCCCTTCCAAATTGTTGGCCTCGGTCCCATCTTCTTCTACTTCTTAACATTAAACTTGGCACCTCCATCTTAACGTGACAGCGCTCACAGCCTCTTTCCAATCTAGTTCACCTTTATTCCATCACCCAGGGGCAAAAAGATGCCTGAAACAGAGCCCTACTTCTCGCTGAGGGGCAAGGTAGGCTGAGCTTATGTAGAATTTACAGACTGTGGTCAGGGTTAGGAAGGAGAGCTCCACATGCAGCGTGAGGGGGTCACAGGCCTAGCTGACCACCTCGGAGGTTGAGGGGAGAGGGCGTCCACAGGCTGGGGCCCGGAGGGCAAGGAGCAGCCCACCCCCAACGGAGCCCAGTGGGAAGAGCCTTCCAGGAGGCAAGCCTGGGATGGGCAGCCGCCCTGCAACCAGAGGAGTCACGATGCATGTGGCAGTCAGAGGAAAAGGCCAGCATGACCGGACTGCAGAGACAGCTTTGGCCTCAGACATGAGACTGGAGTCAGATCAAGTAGGGCTTTACAAACCATGCTGAGAAGACTGATTTATTTTATTTCCCCCCATAAAAGGATATTACTCAATTACTTTAATCTTATTTTAAAATTTTTACTGGAGTATAGTTGATTTACAATGCTGTGTTGGTTTCAGGTGTACAGCCAAGTGATTCAATCATACATAGACCTGTAGCCACTCTTTTTTAGATTCTTTTCCTGTACAGGTCATCACAGAGTAATGTACATACAGTAGGTCTCTATTAGTTACCTATTTATATGTAGTAGTGTGTGTATATGTCAATCCCAATCTCCCAGTTTATCCCTCCCGCCCCCCTTAACCCCTGGTAACCATAGTTTATTTTCTACATCTTCAATTACTTTAATCTTGACATGACCAGAACCGCCATGCATGCAGAACACACTGAGGCCTGGGTTGGGGGAGGTGCAGGAAAACCAGTTAAGAAGCCTGAGACGCCTACGGCAGTGACTCCTTAAAGGAGCTCAGAGTTAGTGGGAGAAATTGTCACCAATCAGTCGAGCAAGACTTTGCACCTCTCCCCTTACCTGGAAAGATTAAACCTCTAGTAACTGGAATCAAGATCTCCAAGTTTAGCTCTTTTGCATATTTCCCTGGTGATTTTCACCAAAAATGCCTTCCTAAAGATTCCTACGGAAATATTAAAACATAATTACACAATAATCCTAAAAGACAAGGCTATACATACATGTGATATTGCTGCTGCCGGAGCTGACCTTTCAAATTGTAGCCTGCACCAGGGAGTGTAACAGATTAGGGAAACCGTGTGAAAAAAGCAGCCTGCAAACTCTTGTGTCTGTCCTCACAAAATGCAAACACAACAACAATAACAATGCTTGCCACACCTGAGTAAGCAATGTGGGGAAACAGCCAAACTGGCGGGGTAGCAACGTGGAGAGGGTGCTACAACCAGTTCACCCAGGGCCACGGAAGATGGGCTGCTTACCGGCTCAGGGGGGCAGCTTGTTTCAGGCTCCACCAAGCTCAGTCCGGGCACAGGCACTGAACAGCAAAGTCAGAAGGATTAAGTGACTCTGCCGCCTGCGTGTGTGTTGGCCCTATAACTGGGTCTAGAAGATGCCAACTGGCACTCAAGCCGTAACTCCCTTCTTAAGGAGAAACTAGCACTCCCCTTACTCAGACCAGAATTTCTCCTTCTGGTTTAACCCCTCCTAGAAAACCATCCTTGGCTTTGCAAACCTATGTAAAAACACAGCCCCGGCTCCCTGGCTTTCCTGCCCTCCCCAACATGCACCTGCAAATCCCTCCTAGGCACAAATGCAAAACAGTTGCCAATCGTCCTTTTGGGGATTCGTAGGGCAACCAGCCAACTGGCCGCCAGCAGGTTATTCACACTGCAATAGGAAACAAATTTCTTGCTGCAATTATCCTTAAATTTCGACTGTTCACCCCAGGAATAAACTAATTGCTGCTGTAAAACACCCTTTCCCACACTGTCCAGCACACGTCTGTAAATTCCAAGAGGGGTGGGTGTGAGCTGGCTGCCAGTCGGCCTCTGGAAAGGAATATGGCGGCTGGCCAACTGGAAGCCAATTTATTATTCACGGCGGAAGAGAACTTGAACTTCTTATTGCAAATACCCCACATGCTTCGGTGTTTACCTTTGAACTACACAACTTGGACCTTAATTTGTAATAAGCCCGTGTGTACTGCTGGCTGTGGACTAGTGGCAAAGGCATAGGGAAGGGAAGACAATATCGTATCTCAAATATTTACTGAATACCTGTGAAACGCCAGGTGGCATGTTGGATGCTGACAATTGTACATGGGAGTTCTATATTCTTAGAGGAATTCACAGAACGGGGGTAAAATCCATTCTCTCCATTGCCGCCAACTATTAAACCTGTAAGTGCAGGTTTTGCTCCAAACACCCTTTCAACTTCTCTTCCTTACGCTTTCATCATCAAGACTGGAGGTCTTACCGGGGTTTTACAAGGTGTATGACAAGAGCATCTTCTGAAGTAGCTCACCTTCAGAAGGTCTGTGCTTTTGTGCCTTTGAACAAACGATTGTTTCTGCCTAAAACCTCTCTCTCCTGCTTCTCCGAGTGTGAAAAGCGTACAAATCTCTGACGACCCAACTCAAGTGTGGGAGGTGGAGAGAGACACAAACATCCTGGAAGGATACAGTAGACAACCTCACAGGCAAAGGTCCAAAACGAGCCCAGGGTTGTGAAGGTGGGAACCGGGAAGCCTACAGGGACCAACACTTTCAATACGTCTTTCCAGTATCGTAAGCTACCGTTCGTCCTCTGCTTCTTTTTTAAAAAAATTTTTATTGGAATACAGCTGATTTACAATGTTGTGTTAGTTTCTCTGTACAAGCAAAGTGAATCAGTTATACGTAGACATACATCCACTCTTTTTTAGCTTCTTTTCCCATATGGGCCATTACAGAGTACTGAGAAGAGTGCCCTGTGCTCTACGCTATGCGGCAGGTCCTCGTTAGCTGTTTTATGTATAGCAGTGTGTGTATGTCAATCCCAGTCTCCCAGTTTGGCCCTTCCTCTGACTGTCCCCCTGGTAGCTGTAAGTCTGTTTTCTATGTCTGTGACTATTTCTGTTTTGTAAATAAGTTCATTTGCACCATGTTTTTTAGATTCCACATATGAGCTCTGCTTCTCTCGGCCTCTTTTCCGGCTGTTCCTTTAGATGACTGGCCTCTTCTGCTTGCCGTGTCCAGAGTAAATAGCAGCACCACGGCCGACACACCTTCAAGGTCCAGGGCCCATCACCGTGAGTACACGCTCTGTGTTGCTTCAGTGCTTTAAGGGAGGTTCTAATACACTGCTGATGTATAGTGGACTGACCCTCCTTGGGTCAAGGGCCCCACCCTGGATGCTCAGCTGTGGCTGGAAGACCGGGTTCCACGGTAGGAACACCTAGTCCTACCACTTCAGTGAAGCCACGGACAGGTTCATGGAAGGTTTTGTGAGCAACGCAACCAAACGGTCTGTTATGTAACTGGCCACACCCCTATGGTCACGAGTGGCTGTGTCCGCCCCCCACGCACACTCCCCAATCCATTAGGCTACACAGGCCCCCCCAGGACCACGTTAACTTCCTGCCTTGCTATCCCTTGGCTTCGGCTCCGGCAAATAAATAGGCTTTCAATGTTTGTTGAGTAAGCCTTTTAAAAATATAAACTGGATTATGTCACTCCCTCACTTAAAAACTTCAGCGGCTTCCCACTGTATCTAAAATAAAACCCAAATTTCCTTTCGTGAGCTCAGAGGCCCAAAGGGAACGAGGCCCTCCTCTGTCTCCATGTCAGTCAGGTGCCTCTCACCTCTTCCTTCTCAGTGCTCGGGCTTTTCCTTTATTCCCTCTAACACATCACAATCCTGCCAGGCTCAGGCCCTTGACAAGTCCTGTTCCCTGTCTGGAATGTTCTCTGGTTCTTCACGCAGCTGGCGCCTTCCCATTCCTGCTTCGGAATCCAGCTGAAATGTTACCTCATCAGAGAAGCCTTTCCTGACCAGCCAGTCCAACAACATGCTCACTCACTCTGCTCCGTGGGGTGTGCTCATAGCATGTACCGCAATTTTGGATCGTCGGCCAGTCGGCCTATTCACTTCTCTGCCGTCTTTACCCCGGGTGGGCTGTGAGCTCTGCAGAGTTACACAGGTCTCCTTCCTTCTTGCCCATACAGATGGGGCCTGATACGGTGCCTGGCACGCAATCAGTGTCTGTGGGTGGACGAATGTATCAGAAGATAAAGAGTCTAATTCTGGCTTGATCACTGACAGTCATCTTGGGCAAAATACTTCTTTCTTTTCTTCCTTTTTCAAATTTTTTATTTTAATTTATGGCTTTTATTGAAGTATAGTTGATTTACAATGTTGTGTTCATGTCTGCTGTTCTCCTTTCTAAGTGTCCGTTTCCTCTTCAACAAAATCAGGAGACTCCAGAATTATTCTGATTCACTGAAAACTACTCAAGCCTCCCTCTCTGAGACGCCTTCCCTAATTAACCCATCTCATTCTAAAGCTGAATGCCTACGCTGAAATACTATTTTGCAGCTGTTTTATGGTTATTGTAAGGTCTTTGGAGACAGGAAGCAATGGTTCTTGGAAAAGGAGAGAATTCTGGGTCACCTGGAATTTTTGAGACTCCTGAAATATCTTCAAAGAAGGTAGAAATTCCTAAATATGTTTACAAAAAGTATGATAAAATATTAATGCTTATATTGAACGCATTCATGTTTTAAACACAAACGTACAATGCAATGTAGCTATGCTATGTGTAGAAAACTGCCCATGCTTCCTTCAACAAAAACATTATTCAGGTGCTTACTGACTGTCAATTACGAGCATTAAAGACCGTTATCCACCTGCTATCACATTTAATATGACAAAACCTGCATGACAGACTGTTATTTCAGGGATCCCAGTGAACCATGCTTTCCAGTATTTATACCCTGTGAGTCTCCACACACACTGAGGCTGAGCTTGGCCACGGGACCAGCTTTGGCCAATAAGACTTTAGGAGGAATTATGCAGGGGAGCTCCCACATCAGGGGTCATCCTGGGGCTTGTCCTCGTGAGCTGCTCCTCCATGGAACCCATACACCATGATTCAAGGAGGCCCACTTGGTGGAGAATCCAGGCCCTGGTCCTAGCAGAGCTCTCAGGCAGCAGCCAGCACCACTTACTAACCACGTGAGTGAAGACATTTCGACCTTCCACACATCCCATGAAGTAGAACTGCCTCTCAACCAACCAAGAGAATCAGGAGAAAAAAAAAATAATTCATTGTTGTTTTAGGCCACCACATTTGGAGGTGGTTTGCTAGTCAGCAATCAGATAACAGAAACGCCCTGAAAAGTAGGTATCATCTCACTTGCCCAGAGGAGTCAGAAGTGGCAAGTGACCAAACTCACATCACTATTGTGATTCTAATCTTTACTGACCACCTTCTCTGGAGGAAAGCAAGTTAATCTTCAAAATAGCCAATATGTCAACAGGTCCTACTAAAGAAGAGCCTCTGTGCGGACCATCTGACCCGGTTCCCTCCACCCCAAAGCCATAGACGATTGAAAGCAGTTGGCAACGAACTCAAAAACAGCCAAATCATCAACTGACCTACAGCCTACACTACGGCTTCGCAACGGCATAAAAAGTCATACTGAACCCACCAGATTCCCTTTCTCAAGAGTTCTAACTAAACATACTGGATGACTACGGCAGCTGAGCAGTAGAAACTGAAGCCAACATGGTAGCACGAGTTAGCATAAGACAGATCATAACACACCAAAGCTATGAGAAAACATAAAATAAAATGAACAAGCAGAAGCTATAAAGTAGAAAAAATAACAGTGTTCAGGTAAATAACTTCTTAGTAGACATTCAGAAGCAGAAGCGGGCAGAGGAAACAGTCCAAAGCAGCAGAAACAGGAAAACGTGCTATGTGTTGGCATCTCCACACGGCTCCCAAGAACTGCCTGGTTTCCTGACGGCTTTCCAGTTGTGATTTTTAAAAGGCTATGGTCTTATAATAAACTGATCTTTTCTTAAAGTAAGCTGAGTAATTTTCTATTCCCTGCAGCCTTGACGATCACACTAAAACAAATTTCAAACAGGAAATAATTCCCACTATGGAAAATTCACCTAAGAAAGATTATGGTTTTTCTAGTTCCTTTTAACGAGGGTTTAATTTCCAATAAGCAGGTTCCCAGGATTATTAGGTGGGGGCAATAAAGGGGAAAAACCTGGGAAAACTTCATTTCCCGTGACAGCTTTCTACCCAGAATGACTTTATGCTGGACCCAATAACTTGACTTATCCTCATTATTAGACTGTCAAAATGCTGGATTTCAAGTGTAAGGGCCCAGTGCCTTCTTCAGACACTTGGATCCAATAACTTTCCATTTGATCCAATTTTCCTTGTGCATGAGTGTGCACTGCACACATGGTAACTCACTACCAAAAATCTGTATCAGTCATGAGCAGCTATATCTAACCTTACAAGTCTGGAAGGGAAAATGAATAAACTAGTCAAGGGGGGACGGGAGAGATCAGAGCTGCAAGAGAGATGAATCCTACAAATAAATTTTTATATTAAACCTGACTTTGATTAGATGATTTGAACCCTCAGAACAATTTTCTTTGTTTTTTCTTTGTCAGATTTATGAAGTTCTCCCCTTTAAAAAAAAATGTGTATATTGCTGAAAGACTGTAAAATTTAATAGCAAACAGATTACACACTTAGGAATAGACTAAGCACAATTAGCGCCCACATTCCTCCCGCTCCTATAAATAACTTGGTTTTCTTTCCATGTCTGCAAATTTCATTAGAGTGGTGGAAAAAAAGGTGGGGAGAGGAAGAAGGAAAAAAGAAAAGCCTTCTGACTCTCTCTCACTGCAAAGTATAGATCCAATCACTCAATCAGGGGCTTTGTACTACGTAGGAAGGGGAAAATAACTCTCCCACCCTCCCCAATATATATCACTAGCTCTGGAAAGAAAACTTTTCTACATACGGATTTGAAATTCACCTGCTAAAAAAAATACACATATGTTGGCTATTCTAGCAAGCAACCTGCTTCGTGGGCTCTTCCACAACAATCTTCACTGATCTGAGAACAAAGGTTTTGTCCCTCCCATAATTTTAAGCTGTATATATATACTTTGGACAAGCTACCTAATTTAGCAGTAACTGTTAATCATATCTGTGAAAAGAAAAAAAAAACACTCTAACTTCTTATTTATTAGAAGCTAAAAACAAGTATTAGTGGGAGGAGGAAACTTGGAAAGAGTCAAAGTCTGGAAGCATGGGATACATGAGTCCCTTCCGAGTCTCTTAAGTTCCCTTCCGTTCCCCAATCCTCTCCAGGGAAAGGTCTACGCCGAAACATATTTGGCACATATTTGAAACATATTGGGTTTATGTTCAGTTCTTGGATGGGGTCTATTTATATAAAGTGAGGGGAAGAATTTGTATCATGTGAAGGAAAAAACATTCTTTTATCACGATCTGAATATTTCAAAGCACTTGGGTAAAAGTTATTGATCTAAAATTGTGTGAGAACTTGGACTTAAATCTTAAAATTCTAAGCTGGTTACTAGCAGCTCCCAAAAAACCAAGCCAGTCCCTAATAAAATCTGTAGGGATTGATTTCATGGAGTGGTCCCTTTTTTTAAACAGTAAACGTGACACAAAACACTAAGAAGAATTGAGATAAAAAGCAAGAATTTCTTGATGCTTTCATGCCTTAATTAGAGATATTTGATTACAAAGAACAGAAACCCATTTTAATAAGCTCAACTAAAGAAGAAGTCATTGCTAACATATATTCTGTAAGGGGTTAATAACCAGAGTATATAAAGAAACCCTACAAAACCACCACAGTAAAGCAAACAACCTGATTTTAAAATGGGCAAAGGACTTGAACAGGTATTTCTCCAAAGAAGATACACAAATGGCCAACAAGCACATGAAAGGTACTCAATGTGACTAATCATTAGGGAAATGCAAATCAAAACCACAATGAGATCCCACTTCATACCGATTAAGATGGCTAGTGCCAAACAAACAAAAAGACAGAAAATAAGTGTTGGCAAAGATGCAGAGAAATCAGAACCCCTGTGCATTACTGACCGGAGAGAATGTAAAATGGTGCTGTCCTTGTAGAAAACAGTATGGTGGTTCCTAAAAAAAATGGAAAATAGAATCAGCATGTGGTCTGGTAACTTCACTTCTGGATATATTCCCCAAAGAACTGAAAGCAAGACCTCAAAGAGACATTTGTACACCCATTCCCATAGCATCATTACTCCAAAAGGTGGAAGCAACCCTAGTGTCCATCGGTGGATGAATGGATAAAGAGAGTGTGGTATATACATACAATGGAATACCATTCAGCCTTAAAAAAAAGACAACATTCTCATCACATGCTATCACACAGATGAATCTGGAGAACAGTATACTAAGTGAAATAAGCCAGTCACAAAAAGGCGAATACTGTATGATTCTACTCATATGAGGCATGTAAAGTAAGCAAATTCACAGAGATGGAAAGTCGAAGGGTGTTTGCCAAGAGCTGGTAGAAGGAGAGGATGGAGAGTTGTTTTTTAATGGGTATGGAATTTCAGTTTTGCAAGACAGAGTTCTGGAGATGTGTGGCGCTGGTGGTGGTAACACAACAACGTGAATGCATCCAGCACTACTCAACCGTACACTGAAAATGACTAAGAAGGTAAATTTTATGTGTGCTTAACCAAAATTAAACTTTTAATTTTTAAAAGAGGTCATTAGTATAATGCTAATGGGAATATTTTATATGACCCACTTTCTATGAAGTAGAGCCAGACCCCTCATGAGAGTTCAAAAAATCATTAGGTGGCTCCTCCTCCATATATCTGTCTGTCTGTCCGTCTCTCTTTTTCAATGTCTCTCACTATTCTCTTCTTGGATCTTCTCTGTTTCTGCTCTGTGGCAGACAGATGCTAAGAAAGCCTCCAGTAATCTGTTTTCTGGTACTCACATCCTTGCACAAGCCAGCTTTTGCTCAGTAATGCTGAGTAACAAACATCCCCATCACCAAATCCCTTTAGTGTGGTGGACAGGACCCATGACTTACTCCTAACCAATGGAATATTGCAAAGGTGATGGTATGTCACTTCTGTGATTACATTACATTATATTGTAACTTGTGTCTTGCTGGCGGACTCCCCCTTGGTGGCTTGGATGAAGCAAGCTGCCATGTTGTAAGCTGCCCTGTGGAGAAACCCACGTGACAGGGAACTGAGGCCCAAAGGCAAGGGCAAACCAGGAAATGAATCCTGTCAACAGCTATGTAAGTAAGCTTGGGAGTGGACCCTTCCCAGAGGAGTCCTCAGATCAGACCTCAGTGCCAGCTGACACTTGAATACAGCCTTGTGAGAGACCGTGAGTCAAAGAAGCCACTTAGCCCATGCCCAGATTCCTAACCCATTGAAAATCTGAGATAATAAATGTGCATCGTTGTGAAGTAAGTCAGAAAGAGAAAAACAAATATCGTATATTAGCGCATATATGTGGAACCTAGAAAAATGGTACAGATGAACCAGTCTGCAGGGCAGAAATAGAGACACAGATATAGAGAACAAACGTATGGACACCAAGGGGGGAAAGTGGAAGGGTGCGGTGGTGGTGGGATGAATTGGGAGATTGGGACTGACATATATACACTAATATGTATAAAATGGGTAACTAATAAGAACCTGCTGTATAAAAAATAAATAAAATTCAAAAAAATCAAAAATAAAATAAAAATCCGAGCTCAACTCCAAAATCAATCAATCAATCAATCAATGTACATTGTTTTAAGCCACTAATTTGATGATAATTTGCTGTAAGGCAATATATAACTAATACATGTTCTGTTCTACTCTATAGAAGAACCTTTTCTACAAGGATTTTCGCTTTTATATTTACCTAAAATGCAATCTGCACCTGGCCACGGCACTGACTCTAGCTCCCAACCTGCTCCTCAGAGGCAACCCCACTGGTCTCTGGATCTCAGGTCCTAGTTCCTAGGAGCATCCAACTAGCCAGCTATGATGAAAGTTATTCATTCTAGAAGATGGGCACCTGCTGCTAACAGGTTTGCATCCCATCTGTCATCAGGACCATAGTGGAAGGTAGACTTCTTTTAAAGGTAGAGTGGCCAGGAGACCATGACCAGTGTCTTGAGCACATCATACTTGTCCTCTCCCTGTTTTCTCTTTTCTTTCTTTCGAAAAGAAGTTGAAAACTGGATAATTATCAAAGTTGCCCTGAGACTTCAGAATTCTTCCCCATGGATGAAAGAAATAGTGTAAGTAATAATAACAATATTCACATTATCTAAACTTTGCAACCAACTAAATAAATAAAACTAAATAAACTGTATAATCAATATCCAAATTGCCTAATCTTGCAACTAAAATCTAACTTTTTATATATTTATATATTATAGCAGACTTCACAGATGCCTGAAATGAAATTAGCACCCAAGGCAAATTTTCTTATTTAAAAAACTTACTAAATGGCGAAATATTCACAGTATGGTCAGTTCAGCTTCAATTAGAATACTTGTTTGTAACATTCACCCAAAACTTTATTTTCCTAGGCATAAACACCAAAAACTCATCCAATAATCCCTCATATCACCAGTTTTTTCTTTGTGCGTATTTTGGTTAGATGCCTAAAATACTTTTCAAAAGAAGTCTTTATTTATAAAATAAAGGGAGAAAAGTTCTTCTCTTTCTCTAAAGGCCTGTCTATTTTGCAATCAACAGAAGATGAGGGGATATCTTGGAAACGTAACCAGCGCGGAGGCAAAACTGAAATGCTTGGGACCTTGGGCTTTTGCCTAAATGCTTTTTTTTTCAGTCTCTTTATTTTATTTTTTTTATTGAGGTGCAGCTGATTTACAGTGTTGTGCCGGTCTCTGCTGTCCAGCAACATGACTCCGTTACACACATATAGACACATCCTTTTTTAAAGATTCTTCTCCAATGGGGTTTTTCAAGCTGCTCCTGAGCGGAACTTGGTGGCAGCCATTGGCATGTGGGTGCGTTTTGCTTAAACCAGGAGGTAAACTGCTAAATCCTCTGGTGTTTCCAAACACAGAGCAGACTTCTACCTCTTCTCCAAAAATGTTGCATAATTAATAACATTCATATCATCAAACCAATTCTTTGCTCTTTCTGCTTGCAAAAGTCAAAGTTT